CCTATCCTATCCTATCCTATCCTATCCTATCCTATCCTATCCTATCCTATCCTATCCTATCCTATCCTATCCTATCCTATCCTATTCATGCTAAGAAATAGGCTGAAACTTGCCTGCCAGACCTGTGAAACAGCTCAGATTTGACCTGTCCTGGGAGAGAGCAGAGCTGGCACACACGCTCTGCTGCTGGTGTATAGACAGCACGGAATTTGCTTGAGCTGGGCTGCTGGTAGAGAAAACGGATTCTGACATTTGAACGGAGTGATTTTGCCTTTCCCACAGATGTACTTACCCCGGAGTAGCGCCCGGGAGCGCAACTGCGTGGAAAAGCAGCGCGTCAGAGCACAAATTATGTCATGCAGCCCAATGACTGCAGAAGATCCTGGCTCGGAGCTCGCCTGGGGATATAAAGCTGGCTGAAGGAGCAAAAGTAGCGGCGAGCTGAGCGGGAGAGAAGCCCATCCTGGGGGACAGGAGCATCTCCCCGCTCGGGCTGCTCGTGTGCCGCGTTTGCAGCCCCCGAGCGCGCCGGGGCTGGGCGAGGCGAGAGCGGCTCTCGCAAGTGAGCTCTTCCACAACTGGAGGGGCACAGCAGCGTTCCAGAGATGCTATCCTGCTTTGTCTGGCTCGCCCTCCCCGACTTGGTTAACGCCTTTGTGACCCCAGGAAAGTTGCCCCTCAATGGGAGCCTGGAGGAGACTTTTATAGTCCCGAACGTGTCGGGTTTCTTTTCCTGGGACAATGACAGCCTGGCCGACTGGCAGAGCTTTGTGGACAGGAGCCGGTACGGAGCGGAGTCGCAGAGCACCACGGTGAAAGCCTTGCTCATCGCGGCGTACTCCTTCATCATCGTCTTCTCCCTCTTCGGCAATGTCCTGGTCTGCCACGTTGTCATGAAGACGAAGCGAGTGCACTCTGCCACCAGCTTGTTCATCGTGAACCTGGCTGTGGCCGATATCATGATCACCCTCTTCAACACACCCTTCACTCTGGTAAGAGCGGGCAGAGATGCCTGGGACGCGCCATCGCTGAGGGAAGGGAAGCACCTCAGCAGCTTGGCAGGAGGGGGATGCATCGCCACAATCCACCCCATGACTGAAGTCAATTTCTCTGGGCCTTTGCAGTGCCATCAAGTCACTTCGGTGGCTTTTCCTGCTTTACACTGCTATAGGCAGTGTGTGCATGTTCTGCAGATAGCTGGCCACTCCTAATTACAGCCATTGGAGTTGCCTTTGGAAAACTCCACATGTATTTTTCGTCTCTGATTCCTGTTATCTAGTTGAAGATCCCATTTGTTAAACTTGGCCCTGATAGTAATAATAACCTTGAGCAATAATAACCTTGCAGTGATTGCTTGCTACTTTGTAGCATATGATCTTTTTTTTTCCTCTTCTCTTTTCTAAGGTACTTTGAAGGCAATGCTATAAACCTCTTGAAAAAAAATTAATGCTCAGCATCATCTAACAAGCTGTTTTGAAAAGCTGTAGTTTGCCTGAAGTGAGATAAGATGAACAGGTCAGCTCTATGCCATAAGGAGGGATTAAAAGGAAGAGTAAATGTATTTACTCGATAGTGAGGCTGCAGAAGGACACACTGTAAATAAAACAGAACAAATGTCTTTGGTACTGCACTGCTGTATTGTTCTGGAGGATATTGCCAGGTCACTGAGCAGCAGTCACTTACCTCTTCAGAAGCCAGAAAATTATACAATTATACAAAGAACCATGAGTGTCTTTTAAACAGCACAAGGAATTGTGTACTGGAGGTACACCTATAAGCAATTGTGGGGGGCACAAAACTAATGGTCTTCTTTTTTAGGCTCGTTTTGTGAACAGCACCTGGATCTTTGGGAAGGGGATGTGCCATGTCAGTAGGTTTGCACAGTACTGCTCTCTCCATGTCTCTGCCTTGACCCTTACAGCCATTGCTGTGGACAGGCACCAGGTGAGACCTCTCTGAAGAGAGATGGAAAGCTTGAGGGGGCATAAGGGAACTGAGGAAGGATGAACCAATGTCCTTTCCCATTCAGCTCCCAGAATATCGTAAGATTCATGAGGAGCTGACAGGGTAGGGGGGCAGTTCCTATTGTCAGAATAGTTTCAAACCCACAGCAAGGTAGGAGGTATCCATCACCTTGCTATCTCTTTCAGCTGAGTAAAGGGAGCTTTTATGCAGTAGATAATCCAGTAGCTCTCAAACAAGGAGAAAGATCAAGGTCCTGATAGGAATTCATGTGGACAGCTCTCCTTTGGGGTGGCTTGGCCAGCACCAGGGTTGAAGGGACATCCTAGTTAATTTTCTCAGCTCTATTTCCTGATGTTCTGGGATGTCCCACCTCCTGTTACCCTGAATACTGGAGATCTGACTGTAGCACACTGAAGTTTGTCACAAACAAAGCTGTGGCTTGCTGTTGATAGTGGGTATTATCAGCTTGGAGTCACCCAACAACCACACAAAATTGTTTACAGTTGGCATTTTCTGCTAGAAAGATTGTTTCCAGAAAAAGCACTGACTATCAAAAGCATTCCCATGGAGGTCTGGTTAAACCCTTTGGTTCTTTGGGTCACTGATACTGAAGAGTTTGAGACTTTTTTCTCCTTTTTTTTTTTTTTTTTCCTATTAAGGAACTTGAACCTAGTAATGAACATGTATTAACACCTCCTGGTACACTTTTTCCTACCTAGATGAAAGTACTGAAATTTGAGGGCAGGACTAAGATCTGACTTGAACCATATTTCATGGTGTTAAAACTCAGGTTTTGGTGTACAGCTTACAGTCTTTGGGAGCTGGGACTGTAGTGCTTGCATGCTAAATTACCACATTAGCAATAGATTTAAGGCTGGAAGACTGTATGAAAAATAGTATAATTTTGTAATAAATGTAATAAGCCTAGGTTTTTGTTTATTTTGCACAGGTTATAATGCACCCCCTGAAACCTCGCATATCTACTGGAAAAGGTGTTATCTACATCTCTGTAATCTGGATTATGGCAACTTGTTTTTCCCTACCACATGCTATCTACCAAAAGCTCTTTACCTTTGAATACAGGTAAGGATGTGCCTTGCTTTCCTCCACAGTTTCCCTGGAGGCTAAACTCTGAAGAGCCATACTTTGGTATATTTTACTGAAAGCCTTGAGCATATGTCAAGGTCAGCCAAATATGGATCTAAACTATATTTTTCATCCAATTCCTCTTGCAATGTCTGATATCCTGTCCTTTTTATTTAAAATGTTTTATCTTTATTCTGTCCCAATAATCACACAAAACAGGCTAAGACGTTAGAGGATCTGGCTTTACCCTTTACTTCAATACACTGGCATTTTATGCCATATACCTGTTTGGCAGGTATAATAATGGTATGATCTGACCTATTTGGGCAGACCAGAAATAGGGAACAAAAAAACCCAACCAACCAAACAAACAAACAAAAACACACTAAAACCCAACAGGTTTTAATCTACTCTTTAGCCCTAAGAAAGTAGATAAATATGCCTCAGCTGTCAAGAGCCTTTGTATTTGGAAAATACTTTAATGAGGGAAAGGTCCTTAATATGTGCAGAGACTGTGTTCCTATTTGCCAAAAGACAAAAATTAAAAACCCGCTTATGTGCAGCTGGAAATTTTGTAATTGGTGAAATTCATAAGATTATCATAAGGTCATGAATGCCCATAAGAAATTATCACCACAGTGCTCACTGGCTGCTCCATGGCTCAGATTCTTGAAGAGCAGAGCTCTGCTCAGCTGTGACATTTGTGAGATAAACACAGTGTTTGCTTTCAGGCCCTATGGCAGGAGCTCTCTCCCAACTGCCTCCTTGTTTCTGATGTACTTATCCCGCCGTGCCAGGCCATCTGTGCCTCTCATCCTGTCCCATCTCTCCATTTGCAGTGAGGATGTTACCCGGTGCCTGTGTCTGCCGGATTTCCCTGAGCCTGCTGACCTCTTTTGGAAGTACCTTGATTTAACGACCTTCATTTTGCTCTATGTCCTGCCCCTTCTGATCATCTCTGCTGCCTACGTGACGGTGGCCAAGAAGCTCTGGCTGCGCAATGTCATCGGGGACGTCACCACTGAGCAGTACTTCGTCCTTCGCAAAAAGAACAAGAAGACCATCAAGATGCTGATGCTCGTTGTCATCCTCTTCGCAGTTTGCTGGTTCCCCTTGAATTGCTACGTCGTCCTCCTCTCCAGCCAGACCATCCACACCAACAACGCCCTGTACTTCGCCTTCCACTGGTTTGCAATGAGCAGCACCTGCTACAACCCCTTCATCTACTGCTGGCTCAATGACAGCTTCCGATCGGAGCTGAAGGCTTTGCTCAGCGTGTGCAGAAAACCCCCCAGGCCCACAGAGCACAGGCTTCCCCCCACAGTCCCTTCCTACCGACTGGCTTGGCCAGAAAACGGCAACTTCAAGAGGTTGCAGGCCTCCTCCCGTGTCCTTCCACCATCCTCCACCATCCAGTCAGGAAAGACAGACATTTCTGCAGTTGAGCCAATAGTAGCTGTGAGCTAAATGATGACCTTGGATTGCATATAGATTTGGCAAGAGCTAAAAGGGTAGGAAGATGTGGAGCCCTGGCCACACAACAGGTGATAAAATCAAGAAGGAGGTTCTGCAGGAGGCAGTATGAAAGAGCTGTGTGTTTGATGCAGGCTGATGACAACGGTGTGGAGAACCTAGAGAGGAGAAAGTAAACTCTTCCCAGGAAGGAATTTTTTGTCTTTGTCAAGGTGACTTTGGACTGGCTTGCAGGATGGGATTCTCTGCATGTGTGTCGCTGTTACCTGCATGACTAAGCCTTTTTAGAACTAGAACTGTGGGTGTGTTTTCCTGGTACTTAAACAACAGTGTCATCACATCAGATCTCTCTTCCCCTTTTCTGAGTCTCCTCGTGGCAACATGGAAATGGTTGAGATGTAGACCTTTTGGTTGCTATCTGAGATTCAGTGCAGCTCATTAGGAAAGCATCCTTTCCGAACTGGGGTCTGAAAAGTCAAGACCTGTTCTGAGTGAAAGAACAGATCTCTTCCATAAATCCTTTTTTAAGATCGATTTGAAGAAAAGTGGATGCCTATTCTTCAAGTAAGTAGATGGTTTTTCTTCAAATAGATAGCTAAACCCAAAAAACATGCGAAGTGTTGGACACGCCATTCACCGTTGGAAAATGGGTAATTAAGTGCTACTGTGGTTTGGACTAGAACCTTCTATCAGAGCATCTTTGCATCATTGTCAAGTTGCAGCTAAAGGATCACACAGTTTTACTTTGTAACTTGCCTTTGAATGTTGCTCTCTTACCCTGTAAAGCACCTGTGTACTTGTCACTTCACACATTTGGGACATTTCATTCCAACTAAGAACTTAGCTCTCTGAAATGAGTTCATAAATGAACTGCTTTGAGAGAAGAGATGATATCTCTGACAGCAAGTAATAAAAGTGGAACATTTGACTGCAAGTTATCCTGAGATGTGTCCTATTTGGAGTAGCTAAGAAAATTCACGGTTACAAGCATCTGAAGTAGATTTCAGAATGTAATGTTCTTAGCAGAAGAAAATAGGGGTTTGAACAAAAAAAAATGGTGTTCCAAAACCTGTACTTTATATTGCACAGAAAAACAGTATCTCCTCATGCTGTGGAAATTAGCTTGAACATCACACCAAGATGCCCCATTCCACATTTAACTTGCAGCATTCAGCAGCGAAGTGAGAAAATCTTGTTATAAATGAAAAAAAAAAAAAAAAAAAAAAAGTGAAGCTGTTTATCTCAGCGTCCTGTAATAAACTTACAGTTCTGAAGTTACAGTTCTGAAATCATTTTAAGCTTTGTGCAGGGTTTTCACACTTGAGTATTTAAAGAGACTGAAATATCTAATACTCCTTGCAGCTAACCTGACCTGCCCTTGCACAAGCGGTTATCAGTCTCTCACTGTGAATCCAGTGCTATTTTACTGCCCTTTATCAATGGCCCTGGAGTCAGAATATTTTTTAGCACTGTTCTGCAGAGTCAAATCTTTCCTCCTGCCATCTTTGATCCCTTACACCAAGTCCCATTTCCTCCCTCAACATTTGCAACACATCAGCCCTGAATTGTTCAGGGAATTGAACTGGATGATCATTGTAGGTCCTTTCCAAATAAACTATTCTATTCTATTCTATTCTATTCTATTCTATTCTATTCTATTCTATTCTATTCTATTCTATTCTATTCTATTCTATTCTATTCTTTCTATTCCATTCCATTCCATTCCATTCCATTCCATTCCCAATTGTGCAGAGCTTGTGAACCATGCTCCCCATTCCAGTGGCAGCAGAATCCAGTACTTTACTAGCAAATAAATCTCTGCAAATGCTGAGTACCTCAGTAAGGTGTTCTTTCTGAAGCTGAAGGAAACATCTTAAGATTCACATTTTTGAGTGCAGTTGCCATCCTGCTTTATATGAGGAACATTGCTGTAACTCCAGTAGACAAAATCCTCAAATGCCCACTCCAATGCTGCTGGTGGGTCAGAGCAGGGCTCCTGCAGTTGCAGCTCTGGATCTTGCACCCCTGCACTGAGTGGCAAACCTTTCTCCTCCAGGCTCTGCTCAATCCTGAATCTGGGCACTAGGGGGGGATGCAAGCAGTTGAAGCTGTTTGATTTAATTCAAAGGAACAGGATGGATGGACTGAATAAAAGGAAAAGAGACAGATTGGAGAGTGAACCTCAGGAACCTGTCCAGGAATGAACAGGTGGCTGGTGGCCAGCAGAGGTACAAGTCTCAGTGTGGAAGAGGGGGACATGGCTAAAGCCCTAGAAATGGTGTCCTTGGAAACTGTGTGTCATACACCTTGTGTGCTCCAATGTGCTTATAGTGGTACAGTGTAATTTCTAATAATTAGCTACTTTTCATTTACTTCATGTCTGATTTGGGATTCTGGACAGACATTTGGCATTCACCAGTGCTGCTGAAATCAGTGGGAAGGTTGTGCTCTGTGCACACAAAGTATAGTATGATGCAAAGTACTCCAAAATAGTACGCTCTGGGCAATTTACTTTGAGCATCCAGGCTTCATGGGAATTTTTTCATTCTACCCCATCTCTCTTGCAGACCAGAGGGTTCTTTTAAAATTCTACTACAGCCATTGGTGCACAAACTGCATTCAGATGTCATCTTGGTGGGCGTGAAGGGAGGATCTGAGCGTTGATAAAATGAGATACAAAATATACAGGATGGAGATTATCTTTAATTTTCTATTTGGTGTGTGTTTTCCTGCTGTAGCTGGAGTTTTTGGTATCTTTTGAATTTGGGAGTGCAAAGGCACTGAACAGCTGTTCATTGCAGAAGGTCTGCATAGCCCAAGAACAGGCGTTTTGTGGGAAAATGAACTGCATTTAAAGACTACAGTATCTGGCACATGAATAAAGGAACTCATTTAGGGTTACAAAGGTAATGCTGGCATCTCCAAAATTTTGAGTGGCTGACTCTAAAATGTCTGTGATTTAGTTTGTTTTGGGGTTTTCTACTCAAAAGTGAATTGTTATTTGTATAAACAATACTGTTTTATTACTTTTTTATTTCCTAGAAAAATATTATAACAGGCCTAAGAAAATAAAGCTGCAAATTCTAGGAATTCATGAATATTAATTTTCAGTTTCTAACAACATTCCTAGCGTTTTATTAATTTTCTCTGTGTAGAATGATGCAGAGACCTTGCAAGGGAACAAAGAAAGTGCTATGATGTATTTTGCAGCTTCTGCTATTCTGAATAGTGCTCAGGGGAAAACAAATCCTTGATTCCAGCTCTTGCTTTTACACATAAAGGGAGGACAATTCTTCAAGGCACACTGAGATCACTCAAAGAAAAGATGACAAATTTGTCCTGCACAGAAGAAAGGAACCTCAGCTTTGGTTGGTGTTGTTTCTGTCTGCAAGGCAGCCCATCTTTTCTCCTGTCAGTGTGGGATGAATTTCTCCTCTCAGCTGATGAAAGATGGAGGTGAAAAGGCAGCTGCTTAAAATATAGCAATGTCCTGTAACTTCAGGGATAGTAATTCCATTGTCTCTCTGGCATTTTCAAAAGATATCAGACATCATCTCCAAGCTATCTTCATTTACTTCCATCCTTCTTATAGAAGGAGTGCTGGGAGATTCCGAAGACTTCAAAGTCACAGTTTTCTAAGAAGCATAAACCTGTGATTTCTTTAATGAATATATTAACTAGCCACCATTAGCTGTTACAAACATGTTTTTTATCTCTGGGAAGCTCTAATCTCTTCTCTCTGATGACCAGTGACAGGACACAAGGAAACGGCATGAAACTGAGTTGGGTACAGTCTGGATATCAGGAAAGGATTCTGCACCCACGGGGTGGCTGGGCACTGGAACAGGCTCCCCAGGAAGTGGTCACAGCACCAAGCCTGACAGAGTTCAAAGAGCATTTGGACAACACACTCAGGCACAGGATGTCCTGTGTTCTTTGAGTGTCCTGTGCAGGGCCAGAATGATGCTGATGAAGGTCCACTTCCAACTCAGGATATCTTATTAATATTTTGTTATGGGGAGTCTTAAATATTTGCATATTGCATGTGAAACTTCAAGATGTATTTTGATGCACTTTGGGTAGATCACGATTAGAGCAGTCTGGCTGTGAACTGCATACAAGTCATTTATGGATCCCTCTACAAGACCACGACATCATTGCCAGCTACAGATTCGTGTGCTTGTTCCAAATTTCAGGCTACAATTGTGCACTGAAGCTACTGAGTAGGGAGCTTATGCTGGACTTAGCACCAGCTGGATGAAGCTGTACAATTCTTGGATGTGAACAGATTAATCTGCACGGCACTGAGCTGTGACCCGTGTGTGCACTTAATTGTTTCGAGAGCTCCAGGGATGCCTTAGTCCTCTAAGTAGACTGACCTAGAAACTGAATGTGGACACACAGAGAGAGCTTTAGAGTAGCAGTTTCCCAGGAGACTGAGTATAACTATTTTTCACATTTGCTTTATTCATGAAGCTCTTGAGTGCTGGTGGGAGCACAGCCAGGTCCCTGCTGATGCAGTCTGCCAGCCTTGTGTCGAAGCCACGGGGCTGTGAGCACTCTGCACCCACGAAGGCACCTACACCACCTAACAGCTCTTGGAGGCTTGGCTGGGAGTGCTGTGCCCTCCCACAGCCTCGGTGTCCCGTGCTGGTGACTGCTGGCTTGCTCTCTTATTCCTGATCTTCCTTGTGCCACCGAAAGGGAATGAGGATGGGATCCTCCTCTGCTCTCCCCATCCTGCACAGCCCAACAGAAGAGCAGCCCCTGCTCCTTCCTGGGGGTGGGCTTGGGAGAAGATTTGGACTAGCATTAAAGAAAAATGGAAATTCTTTGGCCCATTCTTTTTTCTTCTTACAATGTCCCCCATAGGCTGTTCTTTGGCTTGCAAATTTGAAGGGATTTCTGAGTCATGGTGCGATGAAACTTCCCACCTCTTGCTTTAGGCTCAAAGCCATTTAATGATAGTTAGAGAGGCAGAGGTGACTCCAGTCATCATCTCAATGTCCTGACCAGGAAAAAACCTGCCTTTATCTACAAAACAAATCAGTGTCTCCTGGCCAACTGCCACAGTTTATAAACTAAGTGTGGATTATCCCTTTGGCCACATTGGGTTAGCTGTTCAGGCCATGTCTCCTGCCAGCTTCTTGTGCACCTGCTCTTTGGTAGAGCTTGGGAAACTGAATTCAAAGTCCTTGGCTTACAGTAAGCACTGATCAGCAACAACCAAAACATCAGTGTGTTATCAATATTATTTTCATACTGAGTCCAAAACACAGCATTGTGCCAGCTGCTAAGAAAAAAGTAACTGTATCCCAGATGAAACACGGACACCAGTTAAATAACTAAAGGTCTAACAAATGATTCCTGGCTCT